CAGCAGGGACGCGCTGTGTGTGGCTGGCAGCAAACTCAAATGACGACGGGTTGCAGCCTCGTAGCTCAACGGCAACATTGTGCATGAGGAAGGCTGATAGAAGTAGCACCAGCCACACAACCAACAGCTTCTGGAGAGTATGCGGAGCGCAAGCAGCCGGTGATCAAAGGCGTGTGTTGCTGTCGGTGGCAGATTGCCACAGGGACGCCGGCGCTTCGGTGCGTGGCTTCGTCACAATTTTCCACCGCTCAACTTGGAGGCAGTGTGTCTAGTAGCGTGCTACACCTATGACGGCGGACCTCACTGGGGCGCCGACGTGCGACGACCGTCTGGGATCGAAAGACGAAACCGCGTCCTCCAGGAGCTCGTGCAGTCTGCAGAGCGCGCTCCGTGGTCCCTCGGGTCCCTGCACCCTGCTGCTCCTAATCTCGTCGTACATCCTCCTGCTGATCTCCGCAACATCCTGCTCCCTCCGCGGAGGCCAGCGAGGAGCAACATCCTGCGCGGCGGCTGCTGACATCGGCGTCCTGCGTCCTGATGGACGTTCAAGTTGTAAATTTCTAAATGAAAGGAAAGGCGCGCCTTGGGTTCGCCGCTCCGCCTCCTTTCGCGGCATGGGCGGGAGCGGCCGCACATTGCTCGGTACCCCCCCTGCACATCTAAAGTCATCCCTGCTGCTAGGGGGGGGGGTCTGACCCCCCCCAGCAGCAGAGCGCTGCTGCTGGGGGGGGGGGGTCCCGACACCCCCAGCAGCAGAGGGCATTGGACCCAGCTCTCCCGGCTCCCGCCTCTTCGCCGCCGCCGCCCCCTCCCACCTCGGCTCGTGTTTTAGCGGTACGCTCGAGGCGGCTGTGTCACAACCGACCCACGCCACGCCGCTTGCGGCGGTTTTCTTCACATGACCGCTTAGCACCCGTTTCTCTTTACTGCTTTTTGGAAGACGCTCTGTAAAAGAATTTAGACAAAACAACTCTCTCTCACAGCAGACAGGCTCGACACAGGTGCGAACTGGCGCGTGCTAGTACTATCACCGGCTCTGTAAAAGAAACAACGATGCGAATGAAGGCGAGCAGCTTGACCCTCCTCGCTGTGCTGGCCTCCGCGGCGCGCGCGGTCCGCGTCGGGCAGCCGGCGCAGCGCGCAGGCTCGCGCGAGGTCGTCGCGCGCGCCTCGGCAACGGCAACCGCCGCGGCCGCCTATTCCACCTGGGCCGACCTCGCCTCGGAGCCTCAGCTGCTCCCCGAGGCGCAAGCGGCCCGGACAGTGATGGAGGTGTCGCCGATCGCGCAGCTGTGCCTCGCGTCGTCCGCCGACGGCGTCGACGGCACCGTCTGCGCGCGCCTCGTCGCTGGCTCTCCCAGCCGACCCGAGCCGGTACGGCTCGCGGGCGGCGACCAGATCTTCGGTGTCGACGAGGACGGGTCGCCTCTCTTCGGGCTGCGGCCGGGCTCGCAGGCGGCGCTCGACATTGCGGCGAGCGCGTCCGTCTCCTTCGCCGCCCACGCGCCCACGGGCGGCGCCCAGGCCGGCTGCGCCGTCACGCTGCTAGGTGGCACCCGAGATAGACTCGAGATGGACCCGAGATGGCCCCGAGATATGACCGGTCACGCGTGCAGGCCCGGCCGCCGAGGCGGAGCTGCCGGCGGAGCTGGCGAAGAAGCTCGCGAGGCAGACCGGCGTGGGGAAGGAGGAGCTGGAGGGGCGGCAGTGGTGGCGGCTCGCGCCGTGTCACGTCCACTTTACTGATGCCCTCCACGCGCGACTCTCCAGAAGCGGAAACGCGCCGTTGGACTTCAGCATCACACACAATCTGCACGCCCAGACCGAGAAGACAGAGCTGTATTTCAGCCTCTCCAACACCTCGCTCAAGCTCTTCTCCACGCTCACTGTGGAGCCTCATAGCCGCACTCAGTAGCCTTCTGCTGTGTAGCCCTCGAGAAGAGTCCCCGATTGGCTGCCCTCCACGCGCGACTCTCCAGAAGCGCGTAGCCTCTCTCTCTCTCTCTCTCTCTCTCTCTCTCTCTCTCTCTCTCTCTCTCTCTCTCTCTCTCTCCCTCCCTCTCCCTCTCCCTCTCCCTCTCCCTCTCCCTCTCCCTCTCCCTCCCTCTCTCTCTCGCTCTCTCTCTCTCTCTCCCTCTCTCTCTCTCTCTCTCTCTCCCTCTCTCTCTCTCTCTCTCTCGGCGTCCAGCGCGCGCTCGCGAGGCCCCCGCATCCCGCAGCATTCGACCGTGCTCGGCGTCACTCTGCACGCACCCCTCGTGTTGCCGCGGTGCTCTCGTGTGAGTCTGCCCATCACGTGTGAGTCTGCACACCGTGAGACTCGGCGACACCCCCCCATATCTCCCCATATCTCCCCATATCTCACCGAGTAGCCCCGCGAGAGGAGGTGCCTCATCCACATATCTCCCCTCACGGTCCGCACGCAGGCGCGCGACGCGTGGGTCTCGCCCGACGAGTACGCGGCCGCGCAGGCGAACCCGCTCGCCGAGTCGCTGGGCGCGGTCCTCGCCAAGCTCAACGCGAACCACGCCGCCGACCTCGCACGGCTTGCGGGGATGCTGCAGGGCGAGGCGGCCGAGGCCGCGGCCCCCCTCGGAGAGTACGCCGCCGCCGACGAGGAGACGTTGTCTGCAGAGATCCTCTCCGTCGACCCGGACGGTTTCGACCTCGGCTTGCGGCCCGCGGGCAAGGGCGGCGCCATCGCGCCGCTCCGGATCGGGCTGCGCGCGGGCCCGCAGACGCGCGAAGAGACGCTCTCCATCTTCTCGAAGCTGTTCCAGGAGACGTATGCGCGGCAGCAGGGCTGGCAGTGACGAGGCGGCTGCGGCCGGCGCGTTCTGGCCTGCCCTCCTTTTACCTTTACCTTCAGGCGAGAAGGAGGGTGTGCAAGACACTCGAAGTAGAGCCTATCGCACGCGCCTCGGGGACGCACGTGTGTGGCCCAGCTCGGCGGATGCCGGAACGGTAAAAGGCATATCCGAACCGTACACAGTGGCTGGCTTGTCGCGAGTTCCGCGTAGAGGGTGTGGAGGGTGAGTTGACGGAAATCGAGGGACGCGACCCACTTCGCCACAGACGGTCCCGCGCCTCGCGCCGCTATGAGTATGACGGCGACACGGCCGCAGCTCTCGCCCTCACTGGCAGAACACTGGCCCTCAGTCACTTGTGCTGCGGCTTGTGTGAGCGACACTGCTCGGCGACTGCCGGCACACTGTGAGACCATGGGTGTGAGGTAAAACCACGCTACCAGCGCTTGGTCACATCGGCCCCGAGGTCAGATCATCTACTCTGTTGATGACAAGACTTGTCTACCGGCTGGAGCCGAGCAGGAGGGCCGGCGCACAACCCCTTGGTCAACTCACCCTCCACACCCCGTATTCTCTTCAAGGGATCGAGAGAGGGACGTGGCAGAAGAAGTTACTTTGGCAGCTTACGGTGGAAAACAAGTGTTTGTCGGGTGGATAAGAGAGGAAAGTACGATCTCGTCCGCTTGGGCGTGAGGCGAGTGCTGAACTAAGCCCCCGGAAGGAGACGGGCTCTCAAACTTAGACGCTGGTGATCGGACTCACGGACTCTCAAACTTAGACCACGACACGAGGTGGCCAGTTCCGGGTCTCTGCAGCAGCTCTGCAGGCGAAGAAAATTTTGAGGCAACCCTAAATGATCACGAGGGAAACGGCCACACCGGCCGTCGCACCGCAGGTCACCTGGAACCCACACCGAGCAGCTGTGGAGGCGGGCTGCGGCAATTGCAGATGAGCGGCCCGGTGTTTCGTTCGGTTCTTTAGGTCCTAAAATTCCTTTCGTCGGGTCGGGGTGGGGCGGGGTGGGGGGGGGATGTTGCGGTGCGAAAATGAATTCTTTGGCGGTAAAGTTCTTTTTCTCATGAATCGCTTAGGCGGCTCCCGTGGTGTACCTAAAAAGAAAGAAAACAGACACCCCAAGGA